AAAAACTCCCAGACATCAATTTGTATCCAACTGACGTTACTTCAGAAATAGTTTGGAAAAAATCGAAATAAAAATGAAACTCACTGAGATCTCTTTCTGAGATACACCCTGTATCTCAGAAACTAAGCATTTTAAGACATACATTTATACGAACTTTTTTACTTATTTCACATACAATCTACAATATATGCTGCCGAAGTTTCCGGAATACAGATCCGACCACCCTGCATTTAGTAGATCATTACAAATTATCTATTTGCTTTAACATTCTCTGACTGAAAAATCGACCTAATAAAATTGTTATTAAGAAGATAAGCTCCCTTTGTACGAGTTTATATATTTTTGAAGTCAATTTGCTCAAACTAAAAAAATAAATAATTAGTACTGCCCTATAAAGGGATATTCTGCAAGGTGTTTCTAACAAACTGATTCTTATCACATATATCTCCAAGGGTCGGCCATAACTCAACCTATTTGAGTTTCTAAACGTCCAAATAAAGGAAAACCGACACCAGCGCCCAGAACGGTGCCCTGAGGGCTTTAACTAATTCCGGTCACGTTTCCGAAGCAGACAAGAACTAGGGGCGGAAGCTAAGAAATTGGAAGGTGTTGGCAGAGGAGCGCAGTTAATAAAAGCATATATTAGTAATGACAGAAGTTTATTTAATATCTGTCTTCAAGTCGGGACTTGTTACGGACTTGATGAATAATGAAGTGCAGTGTAGAGAGTGAATTCACGGCACAACTCAAATATGTAAGCAGACATACAAAAGTTCTAAAATATTTCTACAGACAACAGTTTTATGGTTTTGGACAAAAAACTGTAGCATTTTTTTTATAAACATTACCACTGCGAACGGTAGCTTTTCGTTGGTACAGCAGTCGTGGATAAGGTAAGAAACTGATTAACAATAATAACTCGAAATTATAAATATTGGGCGCCAGGCATGAACAGAGAAAGAAAACACAGTTGTTTATTACTTAAAACTAGTGACTATATTCATTCATGATGTATCCTGGTGGTAAATAGCATTGTACAATTTTAATAACTATTATAGTGGTTATATGTCGAGTAAAAAGCTATGTATGTAAATAATATTAAATATGTTCTATGAAAAGACTATGAACAAATACAATGCGTGTAACGTTATAGAAAATACAAGAAAGGTAGCATTACTTTATTTAAATTGTTAAATTTTATGCGGTGTTAAATCTGATATGTTGCAACCTGTAAATTCTAGAATCTATGTCTCGTTATTCATCTGTTAATATAGTGCAATAATAATATCTATAGAAAGTAATACTATTACAAGGAGTAATGTAATGAAACCTAAAATCTAAATCATATTGTAACTACTAAATCGACATAAATGTTCTTAATAATCTAACCACTAAATATAGTCTGTACGATATTATTTAAAATGTACGTTAAGTTAAGCTGAAAATCGACTGAAAACCAGAACCTAAATCTACACTTAGCTGTTCTTGAGGCAATCCTGTTTCGAAGAGTAGCAGCGTGAGGTGGGCTCATATCTGTACTGTCTGTCGGCGATCCTGTTGGCCAAAACAACAAAAGAGGCCAGGATGAGGACACCATGAATAAACAGCCGTAACTACTGACTAGACTGAGAAATGGGAACGAAGCAGCATGGGGCTTACGCTACATCCATAAGATAATGTAGGTCCATAAGAAAACGGTACAGGGGAACACTACCCGTACCTTGGATACTACTAGGACCTTGGATAATGCCCGTACCTTGTAAATAGTCCGTACCTTGGACAATAACCTTGAAATCAATACATATATATGGGACACCTGCCCATACCTTGGACACAGTCCGTCCATAAGACCCTAAAACTACGAAACTCTTGTTTAAAACCAAAGAAGGTCTAATAAAATAAATAAACCTACCTCGAAACACTTCCGAGGGCTCAATAATAAACAAAAGAACTGTCCTTTCTTCCATTTAACATTCTGGAGGACAACAGCAAAAGTACACCAACGTGTCAGCAAAATACAAATACGAGTTAAGGTGGGTCAATCCAAAAACTCTACCCTAAAAATATTCAATAATAATATCGAATCTATAAAAGATAATAACTCATCTTTACCTGTAGCTTCGAAATGGCAGCTGATTCAGATTTTGCACCAAATTTTAAATTGCCATTTCTAAAAGCAGGATTTGCAACCGTGCCGCAAACCGGCCAAAAACAAAGTGAGGTTAAAACGCAGAGAGGCGCCTTGAAAGGATCTTGACAGCGCGCGCCTTCACAGAACAGTGAAACGATGGCAGGGTTGCTGACTAGAGAACGTAAAAATTACGCCAAGCGCGTCAAATAAACTATCCGGCCTGAACGAGAGGGAATCCGGTGATGATAGGCCAGACATCATATATTATATATAAAAAAGACATGTAACGAACTAAAAACTTTACAAAACCTTTAATTTTTTTAAACGTCTAGACCTAGAGCGTTCAATGTTCGAATTAAACAACAAAAAGATTATTTAAAAAAGGCGAATTTTGCAAATCTGGGATTTGTCAGCATTCATGGGATACAGGATACAGAGTAGGTTTGAAAAAATGAAAGAACCGATAATCTCTAAACGAAAAATAAAAGAGGTTTTTACGTTATGCCGTTGTATTCTCGGTTGTATTTGACGCAAATTTGCTCATGTTCGTCAAAATATTTATAGATGTGGACTGTGCACGCTATTGGGCATATACAGGGTCGCTGTTATGCATGGAAACGGTCGATTAATAGGTAAAATATAGGAGGTACCGCAAAAAGTTAAATACAAAAGTTACAGGCTTTTTAAATGTCTGTTAGTGAGTAATAAATTTAAATATACAATTATAATTTTTTTTAAATAGAACCCCTTGTATATTATTGCATATTTCAATTCTTCCTTCAATTCTAAGCAAAAATCGAAATACACACAATGTAACCTCAAACCAACCGTTTCCGAGTTATTGATTTTTGAAAATATCACTTAAACAAATTGATTTAATTAATTTCGATATGTTCAATTTCATTTAAAACGGATCATTTAACCGGTGCGGTGGATAGCGGCCATTCTGCCGCTATCCACCGCACCGGTCTGTCAGTTTTTCTGCCAACTTCAAAGAGTTTTGCGTCTAATGCTTATTTTAATGTGGATTTAATATTTTTTCAAAATATTTTTATAAAATATTTATGTCTGATTTGGTAGTGTGTACTCGTATATTTGGTATTACGCAATAATGTAATACTGCTTGTTTTTCATTTTCGCAATGTAATGATGTCATGGCAAAAGTTAAGCGTGCAAGAGAAAAAGATATTAAGGAACCTAGTGGCTATGTACTTAATTAAAGGTTTTGATATGCTTGAAGTAGCGGGTTTGAAAAAACGAATAACTCCCTTTGAAGAACATTCGGGCATACTTTATTTTGTCCATGATGAAGAACGTTATTAAAAAACCTTGTACCATTAAGTAATCTTATGTTTATGAATGTTTTTTTTAATTGTTTGGTACGCTTTAAAATGTTTACTATATTTTCTCTTTTAATATTTAGAAGGTTATGTCGTTATTTTCTATAATTTTTAATAAATATACTAAAGAAGTAAATTGTAATTTTAAGATATGTCGATCGGTTTGAGTATTATTGAGGTAATCCAATATTCTTAAAAGTTTTATTTTTTGTTCTAACTTCCACCAACATTCTTCCTTAAATAGAATAACTTTTACTTGCAACCTTTAGTAAATGTTACTTTCACTATGAATGTTAGAAATTACTAGGAAAAGTCGAATAAATTATTTAAAATTTTTGAAGGTTGCTATTAGACTTGAATCAAAGCAAATTATTAAAATTGCGATTATCTCACCAAGGAGGCCGAAATCGACAAAATATCAAAAGAAAACTTTTAATCGGCATTAAACTGCTGACACTATTTCGCTAACAAGAGAAAGAGAAGTCTGTGGCGTACATCCTTTTTTTAGAAAAAATATTTCAGTGATTACCCATAGGCACGTCTCTGGTGAATATGTCGACACTTATTTAGCTTTAAAATGTGTCGCATTTATAGTAACTATTACCCTCAATAATTCATTGTAAACACTAAAAGTACTTGGAAGAAAATTATTTTTAATATCCACGGGAATGTTTTTTGAAACACCCCGTATACCGTGCTGGCAACTGTTACTTTTGGGTCGGCATTTACATGTGTGGAAGTAAATCGCATAGGGATCTTATTAAGTCGGAGTGAGAGAAATGCGACG